ATATATGTATATATATATACTAATGAGCCTTTCATTCAGGGGTGTCACACAAGAAAGAATGCAAGGACAATATATATATATAAATAAATAAATATTTATACACACACACACACACACACACATATATATATATATATATATATATATATGTGTGTGTATATAAATATTTATTTATTATTATAGAAATAATGCAAGGAAAATATATATATAAATAAATAAATATTTATACACACACACACACACACATATATATATATATATATATATATATATATATATATATATATATATATATATGTGTGTGTGTGTATAAATATTTATTTATTTATATATATATTGTCCTTGCATTCTTTCTTGTGTGACACCCCTGAATGAAAGGCTCATTAGTATGCAGTCTGCTCAGGTGAGAACTGCCTAATTATTCATGAGGGGGTTGGGCCGATCCGCCCATCCGCATATTGCCTTTGCAAACAAAAAAATGTTTTTCACAATTTAAAACAATCTATTGTTTTATGTGAATGATTAGGCAGAATGATTTTCAGATCAATTTGAAGCAAATACTCTAGGCGACAACATCCACTAGTCAAAAGTCTTGTGGACAGATATTTAGTATGTTATTTGTGGCCTTATATTAGAAACTTTATTTTTTAGTTTTTTCAATAACCACGCATAAACAATATTCTTTCAAAAATACAAACATGTACATACATGTTGCTCACATATTATGGTAGCCCTGTGTGTGCTATATAGAGTGTAATTTCACCTGTGCCATTAATATGTTTATAAGCAACTGAAAAAAGCACAAATGTCAGAGCATGCCAAAACATCTCAAGGACCCCGAAAACACCTCAGACCCCAGAGGGTTAAAAGCCTTTAATTTTCTCAAAAAACGACAGTGCCCCTTATAATCCGGAGCGCCTTATATATGGATGGTGAACACACGTTCACCAAGACGGGGAGACAGCGCCGGGCGACTTACGCCACTATCTGCCAATGGATCGTGGATGCCTGGGCTGATATATCAGTCTCAACTGTGATCCGAGCTTTCACGAAGGCAGGCATAATCTCTTTATTCAGCCAGCTCACATACCCGTATTTACTTCCTGTTTTCGGTCGAAGTCCACAGTAGTTGATTGTCGAGTTTGCACGCGCGATCAAACCTCCTCTGTGTGTTCAACATCTGATTCGGATGAACTATCCATTTGAGCTGATATTCTCTGAACACCACACAGCACCGTCATCGGCTGACAGTCTGAGTCTCCACTGTTGCTTAGTTACCAATGATCGCGCGCGCACACTCGACAATCGCCTACTGTGGACTTCGACCAAAAAACAGGAAGAAAATACGGGTATGTGAGCTGGCTGAATAAACATAATTTTTATTAATATCTTTCACATTTACTGCAGTCAGATTCACCGTGTTCACTCACATGGCTGTGCACTTGTAATGACACATTATGGTTGTTAAGAGGCTAAAAGCAGGTTTAAAACTTGCCCCGTTTAAGTCATTGGGGTGCAAATTTTAAAAAGAGGATAACACAGTGTAGGCAACACCGTTTTTTGTCGTTGTTATCTGTACTGACAGCACTCCAAATTTACAAAAAAATTTACCGGAGTTCTCCTTTAACGTTTGAACAAGTTGTCAGAACGCTTAATAAAGTTTGACTTTATCTGACTGTTTTGTTGACATTCCCTTTAGCACATCTAGTGGATGCATAACGCAAACCCAGTCAAACGTTTGACTGCAGTATCTTATGCGCCTTATAATCCGGTGCGCCCTATATATGAAAAATGTTCTAAAATAGGTCATTCATTGAAGGTGCGCCTTATAATCCGGTGCGCCTTATAGTGCGGAAAATACGGTAACCTATGTTTTTTGTTTAATTTTGACTTTTTTTAATTTAGTGTCATGAACATACATGCAAAATTTCAACACACTGATGTATTTTGACATACTTTGATATATTTTGTGATTTCAGTTTTTTACTACCCTATGAAGCTAAAAAATTAGATTTTCCCCCACTTATTTCAATACAGAATAATATTTTGTCAGCCACATATGGTAAAATTTAGCTATTAGCTATTTTTTCAATCTATCTGATATACAAATAAACCTACGTTGTTTTTCTTGAAATTAAGACTTTTTCTCATTTAGGGTGACGAACATGCATGCAAAGTTTCAACACGTGTTGTTAAATGTGCATTCCGAAATGTTATATGATCTTGCTATTCATGGGTCAATTTGATCCATATAGACAGCTATTCAAAAGCAACTGTTTAATTAATAATGTAATTTTTTTTCATAGTGTGATTTTTGGGGAATGTATTGAATCCAGTTAGGGGTCAATTTGACCCGGGCCATGCAGGCTGAAGCCAGGAACCGAACAGTGCATGAGGGTTAATGTAGTAATGTCACTGAAACTCTTTCATTTGTTTTTTCCTCACGCAGTACTCGCACATTCAATGGAGATATTCGTTGGATCTCTTTACGCAGACAAATCTCTTTACGCAGACAAATCTCTCTACGCACGCACAGACTCTCCTGGTGCTTGCTATGACCCGCCTCTCCCACTATTAATGCACTATACATATAATAATGAACCATCTAAAACGCTTTGAATAACTATTCTACTAATACTAAATGTGATATAAATGATGTTTGCGCTTTCACTTTGAGGAGTGCTGTTCCAGTGTGTGCGCTTCAGATGATCAATGCAATCAATCACAGTTCTAATCGCGAGAAAGTGTGTCAAAATTACTATTCCCAAACTGTAAGATTAGTTCATCCAAAAATTCTGTGGTCCGAAGATGAACGAAGGACTTAAGGGTTTGGAACGACATGAGGGTGAGTAATTAATGACAGAATTTTCATTTTTGGGTGAATTAACCCTTTAAAATGCTATTTGTTTCTAGATATCATATTCAACACTCAAATACAACACTGGGGTTTATACAACCATTTAAATTGCACATAAGGCAGTTTTAAAGGTTCTCTAAGCGATCCTGGGTGACGTCACTTCTTGTTGACGTTCGAACTATTGTCAAACAAAACGGAGGCTAGCTAGACCCTCCCTCCTCCTCATCCGCACACTAACCCCCCAAACCACACCCCCAAACCCTTCTTGTCGGTCATTGGCTGGAACAGTTTGTTATGTTTTGGGGAGCGGGTCGCTGCAGTTTGTTTTTGGTGCTGTTTGTGAAGCATGGGCTGTCTACAGAGATCGCGTTTCTTTACAGTGTGTTCAGGGGACAGGCAGCCAGCGGATAGTGAGGAGATGTTTGCTGTATGTGACAAAAAATGTTTTGGCCTAAAAAACACATGACATCGCTTAGAGCACCTTTAATATCAACTTATATAATTGTTTCTACTCCAATTCGTTGTTGAAATATAAACATTTAAACAGTGTCTGTCCTAATTTTTCATGACAGATTTGTTTAAACATGCATTATATTTAAAATGTATAAACTGTATTATTGCAGCTCTATATATAAAATTGTGTGTATATGTATGTGTGTGTGTGTGTATATATATATATATATATATATATATATATATATATATATATATATATATATACATATATATATATATATATATACACACACACACACACTCCTGTCCCATTTTTGGCTGCATAAAATTCATAGTTTACAGTTATGAATAACTGCACCAAACTGCTATTTGTTTCAGTTTACAGTGGGTGTAGAAATACAGTTTTATTGCTGTGGTTTTTTTTTTATGTCATAGTGTTGTCCTGTATGAAAATTATTTTAATACAATTAATTTGTTTGACAGAAACTTTTTGAACGATTTTAAGTGTCAGAGTTTTGGGTGAATAGACCTTCAATAGAGGGACAGAAATCTGTCAGATTTCATTAAAAGATTCTTTGTTTGTGTTTTGAAGATGAACGAAGGTCTTATGGGTTTAAAAAAAGTGTTAATTTTGTCAGCCTTTTTTTTTTTAGTCTTGGTCCTGTGTCAAATGTCCTTTTTAGTTGTATCATATTTAATCAACTAATTGTGTAAATATTTATCAATAATGTATATTCATATATTTTCTGCAGGTGATGTGATAATCCAGCAGTTTAGTGACTTCTTATCTGTTGAAAATGAGACCATCCTCTCGTACCGACCCTCAGACCAGGCTAGATCTATTCCTGCACAGTGTTGGGGCCAGCGCTATAATGAGCTATGGGCTTTTGCAAGAAACTGCTTCTCCTGTCCCATTGGCAGGCTACAGGGGAGAGAGGGTTCTCCATAACCAAAGAAGAATATGCAGGAGATGACTGATCACTTGTTGACTGATATGTGATTGTCAACATCTGTGTTTGGCTCCTCAATGTCCCTATCTCTGAGGAGCTGCTGGCATTAGATGGGTCTAGATATAGAATGCACCTCGGTCAGCAAAATAGTAAGAAAATCACTGATGTCCAAGCACAGAAGAAGCTGAAGGAAAAGCTGGCACTTTGATGGCACAAAACATCACAAAATCTAACATGCTGAGGAAGCATTATACAGGGAAAAACAGATTAATCACAACAAATTGAGACAAGAACTTGGATCATGTAATAAGAAACTCATTGATCAGGTTAATGGTATGCAGTGTACACTCTCTATGTCAGACAATGTGTTTTAAGGATGGAAATGTGTTCTCTTTGCAAATGTAACTATGAAATTGGTCTTAAATTTAATTCTGCGTGGTAACCAGTATGGTTTGTAATAAATTATGAAACAACAGACCACCAAATGTCTTCTTTCAAATAGGACCACAATTATGCTTGTTGTCCAAAGGCTTCATGAACTTTTAGTTTGGGTATGCCATCTCTTGGGTCTGGGTTTGAGTTCAACAGGCCCTATTTTGTACCATGTCTGTGGAAAGTGCCTTTATGATTGTGTATTATGGTTAAGGATTTTTTTAAAGAACTTTATCATACAATTCTTTAAGACTGTGGATAGATTGCGGTTTTTGAGTTGAAATGAATCTCTCTTTGTCTTTTAGAAGCAATTGATGATGCCAAGAAAGCCCAGCAGCTGCAGCCAGGTCTTGCACTTGCCTTCTTAAGAACCGGGTAAGTTCACAATATTGTTTTCTCAAATAAAACACAAACCTGTGTATTTGTATGCCTCTGCATCATTAATAAGTCATTGAAATGCTGTGCATTCTGGGGATTCTGGAATACTGGAATACTTTTCAAATGTACTGTTGTAACGAAGAAAACCGGAGGGGTAGAGGAGCGCTTCCTGGACTCCAAAGTTTGGTTAAGATAGAGGTGCTCTTTGGATGGGAAACTAAATACCAAAAATCAAAAAAGAGAACTCCAAGGCACTCTCAATTGAAAAAGTTAAAAAGCCTTTATTATTATGGCTTGGTCAAATTTAACCATCTAAAAAACTCCAACGTGTTTCGGCTACATGCCTTCTTCTGGGAGTTAAACAGATCTCAAACAAACAGAGTTTCTGATGAACTAACAGTCCACCAATCAGAAGTCTCCATCTGTCAACTAAGGTGCTCAGATTACAATTGTTAGTACACAAAAGGGACAGCAGATGTCATCATTTCCACTTCTTAACTAATCAATTAAATACACACCAACACGGTGACACATAAAAGTTAAAATGCAAGCATAGTATATGAATTTTAAACCACCATAAGACAACAGAACATCACAGATATACACTGAGGTCAAGTTCCTCATTCAAGCCTGGAAATTTAGTAGCCTGCAGGCGATATATCCAGAAAGCTTCCCGTTGTACTGTTGTAACAGTGAGACCATTATAATCAGAGGTGGCGCAAGAGAGCTGCAGCACAGGTTACCTTATTGTTCTTTGTCGAATCATTAATACAGAGGGTAATCTTTTTTAGCAATACCGAGAATGTGGCCACATAGTAAAGTAGAGCTGAAAGGTAAAGAGTATTTCTTTTAGACCAAAGTTGAAAATCATGAAAAGGGGCCAACCAATAGTGACAATCACCAGATCAAATCAGAGTTTGTTGAAAAAAAAAAAATCAAATCACACTGCCCTGTTCCACGGCCCAACAGACAGCAACATGTTCAGTCTAACTTTCCCCCCCCCAAAATAAATGCTTGCTTTACAAATTGTCCGCCTTTTCCATCAACAAATAAACACTTTTAATATCCAACATAAAATAAAGGACTTTAATATGCCAAAACAACTCATTTATCTCTTCTGTAATAAAGAGGAAGAAGTACAAGAGTGATGAATACAAAATACAAAGAAAAATGTAATTCATGACCCATTTAATCATCATTATTGCTTTATTGCAAATCATGCTGCAGCAAGATCCTTAGCAGTCCCTTGAATGGCCATCGCAGATCTGTAGAAAAGCCCTATCAGAGCATCTTCTAGAAAAAATAAATAAAATAGTAACATTTAGTGGCAGTAAACCACGAATTACCAGATTTAAGAACAGTTTTTACCTTCAAGCCATCAGGCTACTCAACAGCCTCTAATCATCTCCTGCACGCCTACACTTTACTACATAGTAGGGCTGCTACTAACGATTATTTTCATAATCGGTTAATCTTTTGATAATTTTTTCGATTAATCAGATGAAAAAAATATTTTTAATTAAATTAATTTTACTTTATTATTTTAAACAATATTATTCCACATCCTACCCAGTGCTGTCCTCCAAACAATGTGTAATGTAAAGCCTATGAAAGCAAATATAGTGAATGTATCAATGTAGGCTATGCTGTACATAAGCAAAAAATGGTTAAAATGCATTCTTAATCTAAAAACAACTGATTGCTTACTATTTTAAAGCAGAAATGAAAATGACTAAATTAAAAATTATGATAAATACAAATGCACAAAATGTTAACTTGTATGAGGCATGATGAACATACACATTCACTCATATAAACATAGTAATTATATTACATTAATCGGCTATTCCTGCATTTACTGTTAGTGCTCTCATAAATATGACTACTCGTGTTACACGTGTATTTTTGAACTTGCAGTTAATTTCTTACAAAATAAATATTTTAGCAAAATGTGTTTTAGTCAGAATTATTGCGCCGCTCTTCTACTGTGCTCCGTCTGTTTGACTCGCATGTGCCCACCGGTGCTCGTTCATTGAACATTGAAGTTTAACAAGACTCACTTGTCAGAATATGCAAAATGTAAATACTTGCGGGACCTTCTAACATTTACAGATAAGGATATAACCATAAAATGTAAGATATGCGGCATATGCGCTGAGGAGAACACGTGTCAGAAGAAGCATTAAACAGCACACACATCTGTCAAAGCACGAGAGGGCAAGACTTGGTAAAAGCTTATGCTTTTGTTTGAAGCGCTTATATGTATAAGCATTCTTGGATCATGTACAGCTTGGATCATGTACCTTTCCCAGAGCAGCTCACTCTGTGTCCTCCACTATTTTCCATAACTCGTTTTGCCCAAAGAAATGGGCTTATTACTACTGTAAAGTGACGTGACTGGCTGATTGACTGACTGGCACAGCGCTGAAGCGACTAATCGATAATCAAATTAGTTGTGGATTATTATTATTATTATCAATAATGAAAATAATAATTTTTATCGATTAGTTGTTGCAGCCCTAATACACAGTACGCACTACTACACTTTATTAAGCCACTACTGTACCAGTTTGATTTTACAGTAATTTATATTTTTAAATCGTTGTAGCTCTACATCCTTACCTCAACAGTGAATTTTTATTGTTATATGTTACGTTTCATACTATATTATTATTCTATTTATGTCTAAATTGCTTTGTCTGTATATTTTATGACTGTGTTGTCTGACTGAATGTTTTTGTCCTGCACTTGACCTTGACCTGAGCCTTGTCTTAAGCATTTCAATGGCCAGTATTCCTTGTGTGATGTGAGCAAATGACAAAAAAAAAAAACTATCTGAACTTTAGAATCCAATTACCATTGATTTGCAAACCATTTCAGATTTGACATTCCAGTGCAAACGCATATCTCATTTTAAAACGGTTTAGGATTTTTAGAAAAATGTAGTCAAACATTTAATTTCTCCTTTCTGTGTGTGGAACTACACTGTGTGGTTTCATTATTGATCTGTTTAAAGGGGTCATATAATGCCATTTTCATACAAGTTAATTTGATTCTTTAGGGTCTAAATGAAAAGTTTGTAATATACTTTAATTAAAAATTCTCATTAGTATTGTAAGAAAACACTCATTTTACCTGGTCAAAAACAGCTCTGTTTTCAGCACGTCGTTTCAGTGCATGTGCCTTTAAATGATAATGAGCTTTGCTCACCCCGCCCCTCTGTTCTGTGGGGCGTTTTGACACAACGCACGTGGAGTGTTGCCTTGACAACAGTTGAGGGTATATTTTGGAGAAAGAATGGCAGCGGGAGTCTCTGAGGACACATCTGTGCAATCGTATCAGTTTGAACTGGAGTCGGACCCGGAACAAGATGACGGCCGCAAAGAAGTTCGACAATTAAGGCTCGAACAGGACGTTTCTGAATGGTTGGTTAAAGCTGCAGTCCGGAACTTTTCCTCTTTGTCGCCATCTCTCTGTTCGAAATCTGTAACTGCAGTGATTCGCGGAATTATTATCTTTACGTGGGTTGTAAATCGGCATGAAACAGCGCGGATGAACACAGTGCTTTGAGGCGAGTGCTGCTGTCAGTCACCGCGCTGTGTGGATATAATGTCATACAGAATCACAGATTCACTTTTTGAAAGTTTGACCAACATAAGAATTTTCATAAGAAAATGTCTTCTGAACAAGTAAGTAAAATCCATTTTTGTTCTGACCAACTAAGGGGGAAAAAGCATTCGACATAAGCTTCGTTAGATTTAATCAACGTGATTTACAGCAACTGTGCAAATTATAGCCTACTTTGTTCTCAAATTGTTCATGTTAACAACATCAGCATTGCGTGACTAATGTTAAATTTAATGTGTTTTATGGTTAGCAGCTACCTGTGTAGTTCAGAATTCATATTCTCCATAATAGCAAAACGAGAAAGGCACAACAAAGGAAACTCCATAACTGTGTGAATTAAGAAAACGTACTGTTACACGATTGAACTATTGAAATGTCCTACTTGTTCAGCAGAAAAAAGCCGTCTCTTCTTCCGTTTTGAACCCCTTCAAAACACGGAGTTCATGCACTTTCAAAAGCCCTGCCGATGTTTAAATCCTTGTGTTCGCATGAGACGGTTTCTTTCTCTTTCTCTAGCCACCTTAAATCCGAAGTACGAAGTCTTTTGGGTTTTATAACTGCTGAATCTCCAGTTGACACTGATGATTGTTGTTTGTATCTTTCTGGATGCCATAAGTTTAATTATGTAAAGTGCTGCGAGAAAAGCCTATACATCTAAACATCTCGTCACGCGCAGTATAGCCGGCTATAGCCGAAACTCCTTCTTTATGTGTACGGGTGTGACGTAATGACGCAAAGACATGCTCGAATTTCTCGCGGAAACCCACCAGTACCACTGGAATTAAAATCATTATTACAAGCTAACCGTTTTGAATCTAGCTATGGCTAGCAGATAGTTTTGACCACTGGCAGAATAAGTTTTTTTTTAATATAATTATTTTGGATTATTTTTAACTTAAAAAAGTTACGGACTGGAGCTTTAACATAATGTCACTTTGATCTATCTTTGTATGTAACGTTACTGGCAGGGTAACGTTAGAGTAACTTAGTGAGATGTACGAACGCTATGTGTTTACTGATGTATACGTACTCAGTTTGTAATAGCACAATAACCATAACGCGTTGTTCATTATAAACGTGGGATTATGTTGATATTGAGAATTACATTGAGAACTTCGTACATAGAAAACATGCCGTAATGTACCCTGAGTGTAAACCTTAGCCGCATTCATCGTGAAGCGTGCAAGCGATTTGCAAAGATTAATATAAAGGTTAATACAATTTTACACTCACTTCTTCTGGAGGTGCAGCAGGGACACGAATAGTTGGTACCGATTCTTTTTTCAGGAGCAGCTTCTTAGCAAAACCAGCTTTATACTGATCCTCGTTTATAAAGCAGTCTGCTGAGAAATGATTCGCGCCAACATGAAAGCATTGACGTTGCTCGTGGGGAATATTCCCTTTGAAAACAAAACTTAGCCACTGTGTCTTCAGCGGTTCGGATTTAGGAACATCAAAATGACTGCTGTGTTCGTTATTACACCCAAGAACAGAACACCACAATCGCTTTGATGCCATTCTGCTCCATCGTAACAACAATGACGGACTATGATGACAGCTCGCTCAGTGCGGGGATGTGTTGAAACGCTGCTGTCAATCAACAATCGTGGGAGGGGCGTCCGACCGTGTGACGTCACATGGTCGAACGGCTCGATTTGAGACTGGGAAAAATATATAAAGAGATTAAAACAAAAACACTGGATAGATTTTTATCATTATATGATGGTTGTGTACAGGCACTGCCAACACACATTTCAGTACAATCAACTTGTAAAAGTGCATGTACCATTATATGACCCCTTTAAATCTGTGTTAAATCCAGGCTTTCTGAGTCAAAAGCAGACCATGCTCACTTTTGGGGATATCAACTCGCACTCTTAAGGCATAGTATGTACGATTTGTTTTTTAATTAAAATATCCAAAAACAACTAAAACAATGTTATATATATTTTTGTTTGACTTGTGAATGTTAAATCAAATGTTTCAACAATGTTTAAATCCAGAGAAATCGGCTATTTTAACCAGTGTAACGGCCTGTATCACTGCCTCGCCTGTCAATGACGTTATTTCTGCTATAACCTTGATTTCCGTAGAAACCATGGAAACACTAAAGACGTTTTAATATGCAACTGTTTGGATACTTTTATCGACTGAAACGAATCATTGTTATATAGCTCAACACGGTTAGTCTTATTGGTTGAATCTATTGATTTCTTGATTTACCGTGAGTAACATGTTTGTACCATGCCTCATATACAACACTATTTTGTCACATAGTTAACATGGCACAATCAGAAAGAGCTTTATTTGTAGTAACTGTAAATGCAGCATTTTCTACACCATACAATATATTCAATTCCATTCCATTTACGAACACAAGTCATCCAGCTTTTATTAATATAATATTCTAATATCGCTCCAGCTTACTGCAGTGTGCAACAAGCGTCTCATGACTCTGTGCATTAGCTCGGTGGCTGGTATGTTATAACAACTTTCAACACACTCAAACGTATTTTAGTATGATTGTTTTGACAAAGTAAAACAGTGCTGCGTTACCCCAAGATTTTAATTCGTCAGATAAAGTGACCTGTTTGAGTAGTAATTCAGCATTTGCTGCTGTTTCATTAGAATTAAATAAAATGTGAATTTAAAATGAATAATAAGTGTTCAGGGACGAAGGAGGTGGACGTTAAACTTTAAACGTACTGCTTCTTACCACAGTAACATTAATAAAACTTTAATACATTTGCTCACCAATGAACATGATTTCTGCCTGACTCCCGTCAGATTGCTTTCCATCGGCTGTGAAGATGAAGACGACAACTCCCATGATTCCACGCTCATTCACTGTGTCATCTAGCTACGCCTTTATTATTGTTCTGAAAAAGCGACCTCTACCGGCGAAACGTACATACTATGCCTTTAAGGTCAAAGAGAGTATATTTACATAAGATATTTACACAATCAGAACAGAGCGGTCAATTTTTTGTTTGCTGTCAAAGAGAGAGGTGTGATATTTCAGGACAGCTAATTCAGTGATATCTGTCAGGACGTTTACTGCATGCCATTTCATAAAATAACTATAAATAACAGGCCTAATGTGTTTAATGCCTAATGTGTTATTCTTTTTGAAGAATTGCAGAGTATCATCTACATAACTTCATTACTGCTCTTCAGGCCCTCACAGCTGGAAAAGAGCTTGATTGTGAGTGTCAATGAGTTCATGTCTGGGCTTATAAGTGTACAGTTTAAAGGTGTTGTTGCATTACATGATTCATAATTACTCTATTGTGATTATGGGTAAGACTGGGCGATATGATATTTTCGATTTCTATCTAAATATCTAAATATTTAACACAGCATCCATGTAAATATGTGCTGTGCTCCATCCTCCCAATAACAAGATAAACAACAAAACCTTTCTGTAGTTTGCTTTGGAAAGCTGTTTCAAACTCCTGAAAAAAACCCTTTATTTTGGACTAATTTTGTTCTAAATGTCACACAAGTTTGTTCTTTAATTTTCCTTTAAGTATATTTTGAAGCCTTAGGGCCAGATTTATTACACTGGGCAAATTAGCATGAGACTTCAATCCTATAAAAGGATGTTTGATGATTTTGGATGGTAAATAATGGTGCAAATGCCAGTAAAATTCCTACCTCAAACCTTAGTAAATCATGTTGCATGATCTATTTAAATACTGTCCCGTAAATGTTGCATCTGAAAGGGAGACTCCTACAAATGCATATGCAATAAGGTCTGCTGCAAAAATAACTGTCCATGCCTTTTCAGCTCTAATTTGTAAACAGTAAACAAGTACACTCTAATTTGTGTAACAAGTAAAAATATTACACAGATATTTATATGAACCAATATGATTAAATGAACCAAAAAAAATCCATCACAGCAGTCACAAACTTCTGACTAATATAAAATTTTAGAATTGATAGCGTCAAACAGTTTGTCTATTAGTCTATTAGCATGTGCTACCAACAGTATACTAAGAATTAGGATTAGTATTTGTTTAATCATTGACCAGTAAAATCTTTAGAATCGGCTGCATGCTGGTGTTTGCATTTTCTCTGTTGGTGAAATATCACAGTCAGTAGTGTTATTTCTTATTTTTGTCTTTTAATTCTTATAAATTGTGAAATTTCACTGTTATCTAAAATGTTGATTTTGTAACAATCACCAGTTGTTTCCAACAAAAGAAATTATATTGTAGTAGTATAGTTTGATTATTATTGTGATACAAACTTTTGTGATACTCACCTGCCATTTTTATTGATTCTGTCGAAGCTCCAATAAAAAATTTAAAAACGCGGACAGTGACCGATTAAAATAGCTACCTCTGATTTTTCATACTTTTTCCCAGCCATATGGCGATCACCGAAATAAGAATGCCACACTAACATACACTTTTGTTTTGGACTGAATTTGGATGCATTTCATGTACCAGAGTAAAATAGTGAATTTGCTGTAGGAATCATAGATCCAAGCAGCTTATGTGAGAAAACAAAGAACTGAATACAACAAACGGACTGTTCCTTCTCCAATTTCTTGTTTTATTGATTGCACACACTTTCAATCAAGAAACAATTACATTTGCGTTGTGGCTTTTCAATTGCAAAAGAACCAGACGTGAGCAGGACAGCTGCTGGTCATTTCTTCTGAAGCTCATTGGAAATAGTCATTGTGGCTGTTAACACTTCCCCAAAGAGATGCAGCCAAGCCTACAGGCTCCTTCTGTATCTGCAGTGATTATCTAAACTAGACTTTTGACTGGAAATTGGCTGTAAAATCATCTACTGTGACTTCACCTTAAACTGTAACTAAAATTTGTGTATGATTCTGTGAAAAAAAAGAAAAGAAAAAAAAAGCCAGATCTAAATGCATTCTAAATAATGCAGTTGAAGTGTAATTGGAGCAAATCTATTCATATCATCTAAATTCATGTAAGAGGTTTTACAATATGTAGAAGTGCATTAAATGTGAGATGTAAGATTGCTGTGTCCATTTATAGACTATGACAAAGAATCAGATATAGTTGAATTTTAGTTTGGAGTGATCTTCATTAATTTTGCTTGTAAAATACTGCATTTTGACATGTATTTGTCTTACAAAGGCTCTATTGAAGGATTTCAAACATGGATCCAGCACTGTGAGAACAAATTGGCGAGTATGTATAACTTCACCAGGCCTTTCCACCCATGTGTCAAATAAATGTTCTACATTAGTCAATATGAAATGCATTTTTTTGTTTATTGCTTGAACTAATACCCTCTTTTTCTCTGAATTTTCAGCACACGTTCCAAACAAAACTTCAGATTTGGTAAGCGTGTTTGTTGTCTTTCCCTTAAGTGAGCTCTCATTAAAGAATAATTGTCTAGAACTGCCTTTTTCTTGCTTGATTTTTATCATCTTATATGTATTCGTTGTTCATTGTATTTTATTAAATGCAGTCCTTAGAGAGGAGAGAGGAGAAGTCTGTAAACTGTTTTTTTTAGTGAACAATGATTTTCCCTGCTGTGTTGTCGTTTTCTCTTTGGTTTCAACTGGAATGCACGAACAATTGACTGTTTAAACAGCAGCAATCTTCAACCCTTTCTGTCAAGTAAGTGTGGTGATGATGCTTATTGTTTTATTTTAAACACCCTGTTCATCTTTGTTTTGTTACACAAATTATGATCCAATACGTGTCCAAAAGATGTGCAAAAATCATGTCACATTTGATAAGTACCTACTCCACTTCAGACATGACTGGTACCAGACAGAGTCTCATGTTGCAGTGATCATCATGGTAAAAGACGCCAAGAAGGAGGATGTTACTGTCAACTTTGGTGAAAGAGAGGTAATGTTCATGCTTTTCTTCATGTCACTAATATATTCATCATGTTAATAGCACTGACAGAGATGAGTCTACTTTAAAGTTCTAAATGTTGAAAAGAGGCCAACAAATGTGTATGTATTAAACATTTAAACTTTAATGAATTAGGTAGCCAGTTGGCTGGCAGGAGGATTTTTCTCTGGAACGCTCACTGAAGAAAGAGACAACTGGGCATTTCACATTCAATAACACTTGATAATGAATTTTCAGTACAGTAGAACACAATTACAAGTCCACATTCCAAATTTGGACTTGCTCTTGGAATGAGACCAAGAAAATGACGACAATTATCCATTAATCATCAGTTATTCTATCCATCTTATTCCTCGCTTAGATAATAGAGGAAAACCAAATTGTCTCCTCTTTGTTTAAAGTGGCTTCTAGCTATATGCACTCACCGGACACTTTATCAGGTACACCTTGCTAGTACTGGGTTGGACCCAGATTTTGCTCCATATTAACATGATAGCATCATGCAGTTGCTGTAAATTTGTCGGCTGCACATCCATGATTCAAACCACATCCCAAATGATTCCACCACATCCCAAAAGTGCTCTATTTGATTAAGGTCTTGTGTCTGTGGAGGCCATAGTGAGGCCATTGAGTACAGTGAACTAATTGTCATGTTCAACAGACTAGTTTGAGATGATTTGAGCTTTGTGACATGGCGTGTTATCCTGCGGTAACCTGTGGTCATTAAGTCAAGTCACCTTCATTTATATAGCGCTTTTAACAATATTGACTGTTTCAAAGCAGCTTTACAGTGATAATAGGAAATTAAAGTATAAGAGATTGTTTTTGCTTTACAGCAGCTCTAGAATAAAGTTATTGTCGAGCTATAGTTCGTTTTGATCAATTCACTTCCGTTGCAAAGATCATTAGTTATTAACTTAGGGGACTTACACGACACCGTTCTAACAGAAAACCCTTAACGCGCTCCAGCCTGCTCATTCGCACAACAACAGTGCCTGGGGGCTCGAGAACGCAAACCTTGAAATAGGTTCCAAGGTGAAAGCTATATAATTATAAATATATATAATTTTTTTCTCTGCACAAGCTTTAAAAACGGCGTGCACATGCGTATTACGTGTTTAGTCATAGGTATGCACGTTTGAGTATATACTGTATCTGCCCAGGCGTGTAGTCTTTCTTTATAAATTGACCTCAACAAGTTACTTGTCTGGCCTTAAATTTATAATACAGAATTATTTATCGCTTTCGAGTAGCTATTGAACCGGAACTATTTTGACAGCGTTTTAACTGTACAGAGGTAAAGGGAAGGAGAAGGGGCCTTCACAGGGGAGAGACTAGTGGACACTTCAGGACTGCGTTGTCGACGTGTTCAGGCGCAGATCCTTCATCAGATCTGGATATGGCCTGGATACGGCGGACTGCGATAAACCTCGGGATAAACAGAAAGACTAATAATAGCGTAGATGCAATTCTTCTTATGATGTAACGAGTAAATATTCTTTTGATATTCTAGGTAATAACAACTGGCCGGAATTTAGAGATCGCAATAGACGTGAAGTACTATAATGCGTTAAGAGCTCGCTCAAGTACTGGGGAGCTAAACCATTTAGTACTTCATAAGTAATCAGCAATATTTTAAAATGTATACAATGTTTAATAGGGAGCCAATGCAGTGTTGACAGAACTGGGCTAATATGGTCATACTTCCTGGTTCTAGTAAGAACTCTAGCTGCTGCGTTTTGGACCAGCTGTAGTTTATTTATTAAGCATGCAGGGCAACCACCCACAAGGGCATTAAAATAATCTAGCCTTGATGTCATGAACGCATTAACTAATTGTTCCTCATTTGTCATTGAGAGCATATGACGTAATTTAAATATATATTTTTAAGATGAAAGAATGCGGTTTTACAGATACTAGAAACGTGACTTTCAAATGAAAGATTGGTATCAAAGAGCACACCCAACAGAGAGCACACCGTTCCTAACCAACGACGAAGGTTTGACAGAGCAGGCATCAAGTGTTAGACAGTATTCTAGGTTATTACGTGAGGAAGGTTTTTTGTCCAATAATTAGAATCTCTGTTTTTTCAGTTAAGTAGTAGGAAATTACTAGTCATCCAGTTTTTTTAAATCAGCTATGCATTCCGTTAATTTTGTGAATTGGTAAGTTTTGTTAGGGCGTGAAGAAATATAGAGCTGAGTGTCATCAGCATAACAGTGAAAACTAATGCCATGCTTCCTAATGATATCTACCAAAGGTAGCATGTGCAGGGTGAACAGTAACGGTCTTAGTACTGAGCCTTGTGGTACTCCTACTGAACTTGTGATTGATAAGTATGATTTAAACCATGATAATGCAATTACACTAATGCCAACATAATTTTTGAGTCTATTTAAAAGAATTTTGTGGTCTTAGATCGAGTAACACTGTTGAATATCAATTACATTTTTACCCTTAAATGGGTTTGGGAGTTTTTTGTATTTCCTAATTCGGGGAACAGACACAGTCTCTACACTCACCTAAAGGATTATTAGGAACACCTGTTCAATTTCTCATTAATGCAATTATCTAATCAACCAATCACATGGCAGTTGCTTCAATGTAGGGCTGGGCGATAAAACGATAACGATAATTATCGCGATATCATTTTTCTCGATAAAACGATATCAAGAGTTCGATAAATGTTCGATAATGTTTATGCGCCTGTTACGGGTGTGCACGGAGATGAACCCAAGCGCAGACGGTGTACAATGAACTCAGGGTTTATTGGGACAAAACAGGAAAACAAAACCCACGAGGGGGCAAAACAGACGAAACAAGGGATATAAGACTGGCAAGACTAGACTAGATAATGACTAAACAAGAAACAAACAACACTTAGTATAATACTAACAATGACTACTAACTACGACATTCACTGACAAGACTTTCCACAGAATACTCACAGGTAACATTTGGCAATGAACCGACACAAGACAGCAAACACAAGGGGATGAAATAAGGAGACTAATCAAGACATAACAGGTGACACGGGTAAAGCAATAATGACTGAATCAGGATAACAAGGGGGCGGGTCTAAGAGACGAGACAACACAAGCACATGACCAAAACACAAGGCCATGTGCTTGCACACAGAACATGGGTCTGTCATGATCCTGCCGCAATACTAAGAGAATCACGGACATGATGGCAGAATCATGACAGAACCCCCTCCTTAAGGAGCGGCTACCAGACGCTCCCCAAGGAGACATCAAACACGGGACAAGACTGACTGAGACATAGACAAGACCCAACAAAACATGACAAATAATAACAAGGGCATACAAGAGTAAACAATGACAGGGTTGGGGTGGAACATCAAAAATAATAAACAAGGAAGGGGAGGCGGAGGGACAACAAAGTCTTTGAGCGAGGGTCCAGGGTGGGTAGGCGGGACGGTGATCTTGGGACTACGGGGTGTGGGCTTAGGATGGGGGGTCCGAACGGACTTGGGTGGAGTGGTGTGGGTAGAGGGAGAAACAGTCCTGGGTTGAGCCATGACAGGGGAAGCAAACGGGAGTCCGGAGGGAGTGGAGACAGCAGCAGCGGGAGACGAAACGGAGACACGGGAACTGACAGGGGAAGAGGAAGCAGGAACGGGAACAGAGTTACTTGAGTCAAGGCTTCCCCAAGAAGAGGTGAGACTCATCACCTCCGACTCTGGAGAGGCGTTGACTGTTGCGCTCTCGGCGACTGGCGTGGGTGCTGCGCTCTCGGCGACAGGCGTGGGTGCTGCGCTCTCGGCGACAGGCGTGGGTGCTGCGCTCTCGGCGACAGGCGTGGGTGCTGCGCTCTCGGCGACAGGCGTGGGTGCTGCGCTCTCGGCGACAGGCGTGGGTGCTGCGCCCTCGGCGACAGGTACGAGGACAGCGCTCTCGGCGGCGGATACTGGGACTGAGGGCAAGACAGGACGGACAGGGACATCAAGGATCTTGATGAGACGAGACAAGTATTCTGACAAGGTCCTTGCAGCAATAACGACCGGCATCTCTTGCTCTGCTGAAACTGAGCGTACGACAGCCTCAGCAGCTGAATCGGCGGCTTCTCTCTCTGCATCACTCACGGCTGTAGGCTTGGGAACAACCCTTACCGCTGCAGAATCTGGAGCCGCGCCCTCAGCGACCGATTCAGGAACGGTACCTTCGGCTGTAGCGGGCTCTGGGACAGTGCCAGCAGTAACGGGCTCTGGGAAAGTGCTTACAGTAGTGGGCTCTGGGGCAGCGCTTGCAGACACAGGGGACGAAAACAGACCAGAGACTCCCCTCCTCCTCTTCTTCTTCTTAGGTCGGGGAGCAGACGCCTTAGCTGGGCTCGTGGCCGGTTGGGAAAGCTCCACAGGAACCGTAACTGGTCCAGGAAGGGCAGTCTCAGACAGAGCTGACTCCGCAGCGGAGGACTCCGAAGCGGACTCCCACGAGACACGTCTTCCCCGTTTGCCGCAGAGACTCGTGGGCGGAGATGATGTCTCAGGAACTGAAGCGGTGTGGGCCTGGTCCCCAAGTGTGACCACAGCTAGTACACGACCCTCCGGGATCACGGGCAGCTTGGCGGATGATGAGCTCGTGGGTATCTGTGACTCTCTCCGAGACAAGCAATCCACCAAATCAGTGAACGGATAGGTCACCAGCTCCTCCCGTTCAGCCAGGGGTGGAAGAGAGTTGAGACCTGCAACGAGGTAGCAGTTTAGGAGGAACTCCGGGATGAAAAACCCCCTCTCGTTCGCAACCCGGGCATACTCCCTTATCGATAGCCGTCCCTGAGCGGGAATCGGGAGTTTGCCTCTCCTCGAGTCAGCGATGGTCTTGAACCACCAATCCTTAAGTTCATCGGAGTCATGCTTGACAAGGAAGGACATACCGTCAGCTGGGTTCGATGTTGGTCGGTTCATTCTGTTACGGGTGTGCACGGAGATGAACCCAAGCGCAGACGGTGTACAATGAACTCAGGGTTTATTGGGACAAAACAGGAAAACAAAACCCACGAGGGGGCAAAACAGACGAAACAAGGGATATAAGACTGGCAAGACTAGACTAGATAATGACTAAACAAGAAACAAACAACACTTAGTATAATACTAACTAACAATGACTACTAACTACGACATTCAATGACAAGACTTTCCACAGAATGCTCACAGGTAACATTTGGCAATGAACCGACACAAGACAGCAAACACAAGGGGATGAAATAAGGAGACTAATCAAGACATAACAGGTGACACGGGTAAAGCAATAATGACTGAATCAGGATAACAAGGGGGCGGGTCTAAGAGACGAGACAACACAAGCACATGACCAAAACACAAGGCCATGTGCTTGCACACAGAACATGGGTCTGTCATGATCCTGCCGCAATACTAAGAGAATCACGGACATGATAGCAGAATCATGACAGCGCCAAAAGCGGAACGAAACTCATTTGAACCGCGCGCCACACGGAGCTTTTATCTGCTCGGCTCAAAGTCCAAACGGCAGCGCGTCTCGCTCACTAGATCCAGTAAGAAGCGCTTGAATTCAGCAAAGAACACAAACGTCTCAGTGATTTAAACCAGTTTAAAGGCAGATGAAACAGCGCTGACAAACAGGAGAAACACTGTGTGCAACGATACAGTCAGAATCTGAATTGATACTGAATCCATTTACCATGGATTTACTGTAACGTTGGCCTAGTAATATTAACTGCACCATGAAATGTGGGATATACATATTGAATTGTATTATATTATTAATGTAGACAATGTATTAAATGACTAATGGAATATAATTACAGTATTTAATCATGTATTTAGGCTACCGTTTTTTACAAATACCATAGAAACCATAAAGTAAAATGTTGCCATGCTAGTAAGCTGCTATAGGCTATGCCTGGTTTTATCTGTGGTTATCATGATCTAAATGCATGATATTGGATGACCAATGGTTAATTTTAATAAAACTCACAGTCAGAATATTACATTTTACCAAATAAAAATGGGGTCGTTAAATTTTTTTAACAGATGTTACTGTTTTTGTTAATGAACATAAATTTAACATAGTAGTATTAGCTTGAGTTAGGATGCAGATTTACTATCAACTCACTGTTAAATATGCGTTTCAAGACAAAAAATGTAATATTAATATTGCAGCCTGCACTGCAAACTGTGCTGAAGATACGTGCCTTGAAACAAGATACAAGACTTGAAACAATATCCCCCATTAGCACATGCAGAAACTAAGAAATATATTTTTCTATTCAGATATTTATTTTGTTAAGGAACAATGACAAATGTTTGAATGTTCTACCTCAGATTTGTGAGTAGTTTAAAACCACAATTAACGCTCTGGTTTCTACAACTTTCACTTAGGAGCAAAAATCTGCCCTTAAACTTGAAAGAAATAAAGATTTGACATTTATCGTGATAATTATCGATATCGACTGATATAAAAAAATTATCGTGATAATTTTTTTTGCCCATATCGCCCAGCCCTACTTCAATGCATTTAGGGGTGTGGTCCTGGTCAAGACAATCTCCTGAACTCCAAACTGAATGTCAGAATGGGAAAGAAAGGTGATTTTAAGCAATTTTGAGCGTGGCATGGTTGTTGGTGCCAGACGGGCATTCACCAGATCTCAACCCAATAGAGCATCTTTGGGATGTGGTGGAACGGGAGCTTCGTGCCCTGGATGTGCATCCCACAAATCTCCATCAACTGCAAGATGCTATCCTATCAATATGGGCCAACATTTCTAAAGAATGCTTTCAGCACCTTGTTGAATCAATGCCACGAAGAATTAAGGCAGTTCTGAAGGCAAAAGGTAGCCTGGTTAAAACCAGACTCAGTTGTAACTGAGTTATGGTCTGGCAAAGCGTCATAGACAAATCATTTCCAGAGGGGCGTCACCAACGGACCTCGCGGACAGACCTAAAACCAATCAGAGCAATGAAGGAGATGACGTATGCAGAGCGGCGGAGAAATATCTCCGAGTGTTGTTCTTTGCTCGGTTTTTAACAAAAAGTAAACGTTTAAATCGCTTAAAACAGACGCGATAGCTGATTCGAACGAGTGATGTTCGACGGCGGCATCCATCTTTGTAATGTAGGCTACAAAATCTGCTTCAAAATCCCAGCGCTGTCGTCATCGTGTAAAGCCCGCCCCAACGTTTCTGATTGGTGCCTCGATTTCGACGGATTGGAAATGGGCTTGAATGAGCTCTTTGCCAGACTAACTTTCAGAGCAAATCTAAATTTGCCGGAAGTTGTTTGGGTTTTCCCAGGCTAGGCGAAAGGGGGTCAAACACAGTATTAGTATGGTGTTCCTAATAATCCTTTAGGTGAGTGTATATGATATCTATGTGAAAGAGTTTCTATGTGATGCGATTTATCCGACCTCAGTGACGTGAGACAGCTAGCAGACGGTCGGTTTAGCCAGTCTGTCTGCTTCCTGACCTGAGCCCGAATTCATGTCTGAGCTCTAAGACTATGTGCCATATTACTAGAGAGAAGAGCAACACCATCCCAGGAGGGATGAATACCATCTCTTTTCAACACGTCAGGCCCCTAAAACTTTTCCAATTGTCTATGAAATCTATATTATTTTGCGGACACCACTTAGTAGACTGTCCTCACTCAATGGCTGGCTGTCTAAGTATCTCATCACTCCGGCGAACAGGAAGAGGGCCAGAGCAAATTACAGTGCCTGACATCGTACTTGCGAGTTCACACACCTCTTTAACGTTAATTTTAGTGATCTCCGACTGGCGAAGTCGAACATCATTAGTGCCGACGTGAATAATAGTCTTAGAGAATTTACGATTAGCATTAGCCATCACTTTAAAAAAAAAATTATGTCAGGCGCTCTGGCTCCCGGCAAACATGTGATTGGTGGCTGGTGTCTCTATTTTCACGTTCCGTGTTATAGAATCGGCAATAACTAGGGCACATTCAACAGGATTCTCAGGGGGTGTTTCACTGAGTGGGGAGAATCTATTTGTTATGGTAATCGGAACGGAAGAGCGGTGTTTTGTCCCGCGACTACAGCGTCTCATGGTCACCCAGTTGCCCTGCTGCACGGGCTCTTCAGCCGGACCCAAACAATGTACAGAGTTCACTAAGCTAGTCGCATCCAAAGCAGTATCTAAAGCCCCCTTGCATTCTTACTGTCCTCGATTAAAGTTTCTAAAAAAAAAAGAAAAAGAAAAAAAGAAATGGACATTTTCAGCAACAAAACTCTGGTAGGCTGTGGCATTTAAACAATGCTCAGTTGGTACTTAGGGGCCCAAAGGGTGCCAAGATCTGTACCAAAAATAATGACATATCAGACTAGCTTGAGTTCCGTCTACCTAAATTAAAATCTAATGAGTCTGTTCTCTTTTTTGTCTTAGCTGACAGCTGTGGTAAAGCTTCCATCAGGAGAAAATTACTCCCTAAATGTCTATCTTCTGCATCCTATTGTCACACAGCAGAGCACATACAGGATCCTTTCAACCAAGGTCAGCCTTGATGTATATGCTTGTCTAGCTGAATGTTCTTTATTTTTAAACTAACTTTCTTCATACTAATATTATTCATTTTATGCCATTAATCGAAGCCCGATCTAAGTTAAGTTACCGATGTAAGAAAGTATTAACTACAGGCTGTTGAATGATTTAAAAGTAATGCACACTCTGGTGGTAATGCACTTCGAGTGAGCATTATTTTTCAGTAATTCAATGGTCTAGGGTTAATTCTATTTCTTATACCATGGTTACTACAAGACATTTTCAGGTGTTTTAAGTCATTTTGAGGATTTGTCCTCTTGTGTGTTGAACTACTTTACTATCCATCTTTCTTTTACAAACATTCAAAGCCTCAGTTGCTAATTGCAAAGTGCAATAGTAACAGACTTGAGCCGCTTCTGTTTTTTTTTCTTTTTCTTTTTTCTTGAGAGAGAGATTAAGTAGGTGTGAATTACAGTTTTGCAATTACTGAAGAGGATTGGGTAATTTTAACAAGTTAAACTACTTGTTACTAAACTACTTGGTCCTTTTTGCTTCGTTGGCGGCAAGGCTCTTTGAAATATCTGAGATAATTTGATTAATTGATATTGAATTGGCTTTCCAATGGCTTTCAAACCTACCTCTGGTGTTTGTTTCCAAAAAACTCTATTTTAGTCTTATCTTACCATAAAACTCAGTCCCACTAAAGGTTTCAGTAACACCTGGCAATCTGTAGGTGCATAGGGGTGCAATCTGTGGCAATCTGTAGGTGCAAGATTGTAAAAATGAGAATTTCAACAATTACACTATTTTCTTATAGCCATTTCCTGATTTGTCCAGCTCAACATTTTGTCACACTGTATTCGTGGATCTTTCCCACAGTGATGAATAAATATAGGAGTTTTTCCTGTCTCACCTCATATTTGGAACTCAGGAGTATAATATGCACACTGAGTTTTGTTAGCAGTAATTTATAACAAATAAAATATCCTTTTTTTGAATTGTTTTATATTAATCATTTAAATTGTTGTTTGATAATGAAATTGCAATTCTTTTCTAAGTACTAAATTGTTAATGAAGCTCTACAGAACTGGAATCGAGGATCAAAAACATTATTTTCTTTAACCATTCACATCCCTACAAATGTCACCACCAGAGCTCTTGTTTCTATTGCGTGTCCTTATCAGGAACCACAAATGTTTTGTAATTAAGCTAAGATTAGCAGAGATGGGGGACTCGAGTCACATGACTTGACTCGAGTCGCAAATTTAAGGACTTGAGACTTGCTTGACTAAATTAAGAAAATGACTCGACTTGACTTTGACTTGAGATCCAATGACTTGAGACTTGACTTGACTTGAACTGTATGACTCGAGAATGACTTGATATAAATTTTTATATAAATCATCGCAACATCAATTGATAAACAAAATGAAAGCAACGGAACCATTGACGTCAGTCATCAGATTCTGCGCGATTGCGTGACTCTGCACAAGCCCAGAAATAGTCTACATCGCGGTGAGCGCGCTAAATACAAAAACATCTCCCAGCATCGTTTCTTTTTGGATTTAAACACTAGAAAATGACCATATTCATGCAAGAAGATTTGTTGTACGCATAATAACTGGCAAGGGATATCGGACGACCATCACAACCTCGAACAGTCGAACTTCATTCACCACGTCTAAAAGTAAGCTTTGCTTGTTTAACCTGTTTGTTATAGTTAATTTGACTATCTTTAAATCTAGTGAGAATAATATTGGTCAAAACAGCATGCCTCTTTATACACAATTATGTTTTCAAATGTAGCTTAATGTTGTCAATATTCAAATGATAATTAATGATGGTATATGTTTTGTATAACATTTGCCACATTTCTTTTTAAATCATGCTTTAAAGACAAAAATGTTGTTCTTTCCAATGACGAAAAACAATATAGAAAACTGCTAGTTTTGTCGTTTATGTTTCTCTTAATGTTATCAGGGGGTTGGTGGCAAAAAATGCCAGCAGAATTAATATGCACCCAAAATTCAAAATGTGGTGGAAAAATGGCTGAGTTATTTTCATAATTATAACATAGGCCTATATAAAAAAATATTTCCAGATTATTGGCGCGATTGCAAATGTGATGATTTTATAAAACAGTTCAGTAAACAAAGAGTGAATATTGTGATGTGACATTTTAGACATAATCTTTCTAAATATTCTCTGTTTTTGCTCTATTTCTCCAATGACAATAGTTCCAAACAAGCCACAGAAAGAGTTATGTGTATTTGTGATTCAGTGACCTAGTTGCTTAGTTCCAGAACGAATCTGTCATATTGAACAAATCAGTTGACTGCTTCTATGACTCGTACATTAAGACGGTGATTTGGCGCCACCTATTGGCGGTTTTAACTTCATAATAGGCTAAATGCCAACGGCTGTTATATAACTTATAGACCAATTTTCAGTTGGTAAACATGGTGACGTTTTTCTGTGGGCGGAGCTTAGGTGGTGGCAGAACGATCCCTCTGGCCGCTTCACTAACGTAAAGTCTGCAAGTTTTGTTAGCTTGTTTTTAACAATGGCTGGAGAAAATCCGATTTTATCTTAATGTGCAAGGTCGCTCACTGTCCAGGACCACGATTGTTTTTTGCAAAAGTTAATTTTAACGGACGGAACCAGATTGGCCGACCCTTACACTCATTGATTGAGGATCTGACAGTATTAACGTTAACGCTACCTCCGGTTGAGTGGCCTGACTTCTACACCTACCTGATAGAGAAACAGAGGGCACATACATTTTTAGATGCCTATAACTATGTGCTGAATGGTCAAGTACAAGACTTGTGTGGTACGATCCGCAGTTCTGCTGAGCCAGCGCGATGAAGACGACAATGTAAAGAGTGACATTACGGTGCAATTTTAATGAGGTGAATATTTTCTAGAAATAAAAAAAATGCAGATAAAGCATATTCATTTTTCATTGATTCTTGCACCCAACAACACAACAAGATGACATTTAATAATAAGAAGAATAATTTAAGATCCTTATTTTGTAGCCGAATCTGTGCTGGTTTGTATTTGCCGCCTCCAGTTTTCCCTTTGTTCTGCCACCAGCTAGTGCCGTGACGCAACTGTGACGTCGGCTGGAAATTGGTCTATATAAAGGGGATGCCAGTTTGAAGAATGCCATTTGGTGGCATAGGAACCATTATACTTGAATTGTGAATTGTTTAATACCTTTTAATGGTCTTCTGCAATGTTTGAGGCATATTTATTTTTTCATGCTTTAATGTTGGCCTAATTTCAGTTACATTTACATTTTAGGCTATGTAGTTTGAAATTGTATTTATTTTTTATTTTTTAGATTTTTATTGTAGTAACCACTCAGCTGTATGTGGAAATGCATATTTAAAAAAAAAAATGTTGCAAATAAACCATAGTCCACAACTTATGTAGTTTTAACTTATTTTAATATATAAATTCAGTGAAATCATCAAACGTTTGTATGACTTGTGACCCAAGCTACGACTTGACTTGACTTGCTTGACATAAGGCAGTGACTTGACTTGACTTGCTTGACATAAGGCAGTGACTTGACTTGACTTGCTTTTATAAAAAATTGACTTGGACTTGCTTGAGACTCGAAGGTTAAGACTTGAGACTTGCTTGTGACTTGCACATGTGTGACTTACTCCCACCTCTGAAGATTAGTCATTTCCATTAAACACACCCTAATTGATTGCCATGGTTCTTACAATTCCTGCTGCTCTTCTGAAGCATGCATTCTGTGCGAAGGCACTTAATCTCTAAATCTGTAATCTTCCTATTTTTCCCCCTCTTCTTTCCTCAGATAGAGATTAAGATGAAGAAGACTGCAGCCACACAGTGGGAGAAACTGCAAGGAGAAGGCACAGTTTCTAACATGAAGCACTTTACTCCCAGTCAGTATTGAAAAGCACAGAATAAAGCCAGCATTTTATGTTAATGCCAAAGTGGGTTAAACCAGGTTATTATTATTATATTATTATTATTATTATTAAGTTGTTGTTATTTCCATCTAAATTTATTAGACCAGTACCCATCATCCTCCCACTACACACGCAACTGGGACAAGTTGGTAGGTGAAATAAAAGAGGAGGAAAAGAGCGAGAAGGTGGAGGGGGATGCTGCTCTCAACAAGCTGTTCCAGCAGATCTACTCAGACGGCTCGGATGAGGTCAAGCGGGCAATGAACAAGTCCTTTGTAAGTATTTCAAGGCTGCTCAAGTACGCATAGATTTTGATATCTCTTTTGATGTTCTCGCATAGTGCTGGGCGGTATGACCAAATATTTATATCCCGGTATTTTTCAAAATTGTACCGGTTTCACGGTATATGGCGGTATTATTCTTTTTTTCAAGCATGACTGGGTGTTAACCACATTTTCTACTGATTGAGAGTGGAAATCTGCAGTAGATTGACTTCAAGTGTCATGGCAGTAAAATAGGGCATTCTATCACACTTTACCGAGTGAATATTGTAGAAAAAATCCACACTAGTATTAATACAGGTTTGCAAGGCCCCACAAAATGATGCTGTTAACAAAGAGGTGCTAGCAGGAGGCGCTTTAGGAGCGGCAGAAATAACGGTTTCCCCGGTAACGGCTGTACACAAAGCATTCCCAAAGTTGTTTAGGCGACATACACAGGTATTGCGGTATATTAAAAATTCATATCATAACAAAAATAAACACCGGTATTTGGTATGAACCGGTATACCGCCCAGCACTATTCTCACGTCGTATGCCCACATTTTTTAAATGGTATAATTTGTGTGCAGTTTAGAACAGTAAACTAGAAAAGAACCACCAAGACTGAATTAAGATTTGATAAACATTATTTAGAAAACGGCAAACATATTTTTGTCTCTGTGTCTCTGCAGTTTAGTAACTCTCTGGGAAAATGAAAAAATTGAAAATGTATTTAATGGTCCAATTCTATTCTGCTCAATTAACAAGATTCTATGTGTCAAGACTTCATAGAATGGTGGTCTACTGAAATCTGAGCTGCTGTCTTTCATTCAACAAACATGACACATTCATCCTCATTTCAATCCCTTCTGCTGTCATACAACTTTAGTAAAGTTGTACATTTTCAATACTCTCCCACAGATGGAATCAGGAGGCACAGTCCTCAGCACCAATTGGATAGATGTTGGTAAACGGAAAGTAGAGATGAACCCACCTGAGGATGTAGAGTGGAAGAAGTATTAAAAGCAGTGGATGACATCTTGCACACTACCATCACCAGTTGTCCTAATGTCCTTATGCTTTTTTTTTTACATTTGATTCTTTTTGCCTTCACACTTCATGCGTTCTCCTTTGTTAGACCCAGAAGAGTCCTGGATCCTTGGCTGTTTCCCAAAAGTATCGTAAGCCTAAGAAGATCATTGAATCATTGCCACCAATGGTCTCATGATCAACTTAGCTCACGATGCGCTTGAGAAACGCAGCCCTGGACTAAAACATAGTTTAAAATGAGATTAACTTCTTTAAAATAAAACTTGGAGGTCTAAAATTAGCTTTAGTCTGGAACCAAACTATCCCATTACTTTTTTTTTTTTTTATAGCATCAGACAATTTTTTAAAATCACACATTTAAAGAAACTGTTGAGTAGCTTTTAATAAAAAGCTCTTTAGCCACTCTGAATATCTTAGGTTATGTTAGCTCTCCATCTGTGAAACGTGTGCCTCAATTAATGTTGATCTCTGTTTTAATGTATTTCATGGTTTCCTAAATATGATTTCAACATGCTGTAAATAAAATGTTCTTGTTCTCTGATTGGGTGCCTTTGGTCTCCTCAATATCAATGTTTGTCCATCCTCAAATGAGTTCTTGCATATTTTAAAGAAATTGAAAATGTAATAAGTTTTCCTTCTAAACAAAGAGGCTGAAACTGCACTGGAACTGACATTTTATTAACAGAAAGACAGATATAGGTGTGACATGCAAAATGTTAATGTGAACGCCGGTATCTGATGGTGCTAGATATTAAACCAATGAAGTTTGTTCTCGCTTGTCAAGCAGGTTCGGATGAGCTTGTTTGTTCGCTGATCAAAGTTTGAGTATAAAATTCTAAATTCAATCTCTTCATCATATAAAGCGATCGTGTCTCTTCAGAAAACTTTTTGAAGCTTCAAAGTAGTTGTTGCGCAGCCTGTCATTGGAGGGACAGAAAGCTCTCAATTTCAATAAAAAGATCTTCATTTGCGTTCCGAAGATGAATGAAAGTCTTACGTCTTTGGAACAACATGGTGACTAATTAATGACAGAGTTTTCATTTTTGGGTGAACTATCCATAAGTGAGAACGACAACTTTAAAGCTTACAGGCTGCGTTGTACCAATTCGCCGCCTACTGCTACACACAAAAGTGTTTCTTCACAAAAAGAGAATATACTTTTAGGGTGTAGTATAAGACAAGATTTGGGACATACCATTACGTCATAAAATTGCATCTTTAACCGATGCATTGTTGTATAATAATGTGCATCCTGTCACTGTAAACTGGCCTGTCAACCATCTCGTCACAGTTAACCTCCTCTACATTTCATTTAATTTCCTACCATATTGAAGAGAAAAGAAGTAGCATGTTGATCTGCCAGTGGTGGGTTTTTAATGCTGAGACTCCTCATATTTTTGCATGATGCATTTATGATTTCCATTACACGAGAGTAGATGTTAAAACTTCATGCTGATTTGTACTCGGCTTTCGCCAAGATAAGCAACACTAAGACGTAGCTTTACAGTAAACTATGCTTCATCCATTTACGCTTCTTTCCATATGGTGGTGTGACTCCCCTTCTGTCCGGCGTTAACGGCTGCAGTGTACTTGGCGCGTCAGCATACACGACGGCTGCAACTACAGTGTGGTCTCCCTAGTGGACCAGCACGACAACCGTCTGGATTGAGCCGAGTAGGGGACATCTCTAGGGTCTTCAAGTGGGCACCTTCCGTCCTCAGTGTTTCGTCGACTAGCCCACAACACCTCAAGAGGGCTCGACAGTGACTCTGGCGTCCCAGAGTCACCCCCCTCCGTCCCCCGCTCAACTCAGCCCAGCTTACTGACCTCTACATTCCTCCTGCTGCTGAGACCTAACCACAATCTCTCCGCAACCCAACCATACGCGCCAACCCGTTTGACTAAGGGCCCTTACATAGTCAACGCATCGGTACGCATACGCGTGCGCAAGGCTACACATCGCTACGCTTCGGCCGCCATTATGCGTCGATGCGTAGCCAAATGTGTCATCCTAGTTTTTGATACGCGACGCGCCGATGCACGCAATACTATGCGTTGTCGGTGGGGGCGACATTGCAAGTAATGTACATAAAAAGGTATATTATTATGTTTACAGAAGAAGAAGATTTGAATACAATGGCGGGCGAAGGGGAAAAGTTATGCAAGCTTGTTCGTATACATCCTTTGTTGCCGCCGATGTAAAATCAGCAATATGCACTCCTCTTCAGTTGCCATTTTGATCTGAATATTACGTGACCCGACTCTAGACTCTACTACCCCCTGCTGCGTGATCGGTGTATTGCATTTCATGCATCGCCGGTGACGCTTGTGTACTATGAAAAGGAGCGCGTAGCTCGCGTCGCTCGCGTTGCTTGCTCGCGTTGCTCGCGTTGACTATGTAACGGCCCTAAGGCTGTCGAGCCCCACTGGTGCGTTAATGCAGTTTCAGTGGCAACGGTTCCGTATGGCATACCACCTACCGCAAAACACAATATCTGCCCAACCACCCGTCATTCACGCAATATACACAGGAACGTAATGACTGTAAATACTATACAACATATACAAATAAACCAACAGACTCTTCAAGTTTTCAAGAATTCTACGAAACCGTAGCGTGGCGGCCTGTACACAGCCAGCTAGAATCTTTCCGTCTCAACCACAGCCAGTTGCTGCTCCTTTCTGCTGCTTCAGATAAGTTCTTTACTGTGCGATGCAACTCTTGGCCACTGAATCCGACGTCTCTGAGGAACCGGGTTGTAGAGTGTGCCACAAAACCTCGACAACCCACTTCCACTGGATAAACCTAGACTCTCCATCCTCGCTGTTCTGCTTCAGTGGCCAGATGAGCATACTGCAGTTTCTTCCTCTCATATGCCTCATCTACCGCATCCTCCCATGGCACTGTTAATTCTATCAGTTGAACAATGCGTGCTGATCCAGACCACAAAACAATATCTGGTCGTAGGTTAGTGGTGGCAATCTCAGGTGGAAAAATAAGCCGTTGATCAAGATCAGCCAGCATCTTCCAGTCCCCAGCAGCTTCCAGTTGTCCTGGGCGAGAATTGGTGTTAACACTTTTTCTTGGTGGTTGCTCGCCTGGGCGGAGGAATATTGTCTTCTGCGTGTAATGTTTTGCTAGAACAGGCGGCAACTTATTGGTCATACTACGCTTGCCTTCCAATGCTAAAGCCAAAAATCGCAATACTTGGTCTTGGCGCCAAGTAAACAGACCTTGGCTAAGAGCCACCTTACATCCTGTCAAAATGTGCCTTAATGTGGCAGGTGATGAACACAAAGGACAAGAGGGATCCTCTCCTACCCAGAGGTTTAGGTTCTGCGGTGATGGGAGAACATCATATGTTGACCTAATAAGGAAACTGATCCTACTCTCTTCCATTGACCAAAGGTCTTGCCAGCCCATCTTGCGTTGTTCCACACTCTCCCATCTCATCCACTCTCCCTGCTTGGCCTGGGAAATGGCCTTTATACACCTCATCCTCTCCTCCTGCTTTCGCACCTCGTTGACTACCAGCTTCCTCCTTTGAGCTGGGCCTGCCTTGTGCCATTTAGGAGGAGCTAAACTGAGCCCAAAACCCCCTCTTCAATGCTGTACCTGTCCCACGATATCCCCAATTTGAAGGTCAGCCTTTGCCTCTACTATAGATTTCTTTGCTGACCACTTTCTACCAGTTTTTAACACAGGGGCTGCCTCCCTTACACATTTGTCGCGTGACTCTACTAAGGTAATTTCCAGTCTGACCTTGGCACACTTAAACTCCTCGGTTAAAGCAGAGACTGGCAGCTGCAATATTCCTTTACTATAAAGTCCCACTCTGCTGAGGCAGCGTGGAACTCCCAACCATTTCCTGATGTATGAACTTATTAACGCTTCCAGCTTATCCACTGTTGTCAAAGAAACCTCGTACACAGTCAGTGGCCACAGCAACCTCGGCAGTAGACCAAACTGAAAGCACCAGAGTTTTAGTTTGCCTGGTAGAGGACAGCTGTTTATGCTCTTCAACCCTTCCACTGCTTGTCTAACTTCTCCCACTCGAACTGTGTCCTTTAGATCCCCATCGTACCATCTCCCAAGACTCTTCACTGGCTTCTCAGAAACTGTTGGTATTGCCTCACCATTAATGAAGAATGTTTTATCTACTACGTTTCCTTTAACTATCGAGATGCTCCTTGATTTATAGGGCTTAAATTGCATTCGTGCCCATTCAATATTATCTGTTAACTTCCCCAATAACCGATTAGTGCAGGCTACTGTTGTAGTCATGGTTGTCATGTCATCCATGTATGCTCTGATTGGTGGTAGTCGCATCCCAGAAGCCAAGCGCTCTCCTCCTACTACCCATCTTGATGCCCTAATGATTACTTCCATTGCCATGGTAAAAGCCAGTGGAGAAATGGTGCATCCTGCCATTATTCCAACCTCTAACCATTGCCATGCAGTGCTGAATTTTGGAGTTGAGAAACTAAATTGCAAATCTCCAAAATAGGCTTTCACTAAATTTGTTATTGACATTGGTACATTTAATCAAATGCTGCCCAAATAAGCTCATGTGCATGGCACTGAACCATATGCATTAGCCAAATCCAGGAATGTCACATGGAGCTCCTTCCTCTCCTTTTTAGCTGACTGAATTCGTTGCCAGATAACATTGATGTGTTCTAAGCATCATGAGAACCCTGGAATGTCCGCTTTTTGAACTGAAGTGTCAATGAAGCCATTCTTTAATAGGTAGGTGGACAATCTTTGGGCAATAATGCTGAAGAAAATCTTACCTTCAACGTTTAATAGTGAAATAGGACGAAACTGACTGATGCTTGTAGCATCTTTTTCTTTAGGTATAAAGACTCCACCTGCTCTGCGCCATGCTCTAGGTACAACCTGTTTTTCCCATGCCACTTTTATCAATTTCCACAGAATTCGCAGAACTCCTGAAGCACTCTTGTACACTCTGTACGGAACTCCATTAGGCCCTGGATATGATGAAGCCCTTGCCTTTCTCACAGCCTGCTCTACCTCTTTCCACTTAGATGCACAGACCTCCATTTGGTATTCTGGTGGGTTGATAGGTGGTATGTCTGATGGAATTGACATAGGCTCATGCCTTTTTGCATCTGTAATATTATTATCTGTAATAATAGTAACTATTATTTTGTTACTAGTAACAAATTGAATTTTTTGCCATTGACTTCTATGGGGATCTGTCTTTCAGATATCAACTATTCAGTTCTGACTAGTATGTATTCCAATTGTGACTAGTATATATTAGATACTAGTAGTTATTCATTAGGTACTAGTACTTATTTTTTAGATACTGGTACCTATTACTAGATACTAGTACTTATTCAATAAATACTAGTACTAAGTCATTGGATACTTGTACCTATTAAATAGATACTAGTACTTATTCATTAAATACTAGAACTTATTCATTAGATACTAGTACCTATTCATTAGATACTAGTACTTATTAATTAGCTACTAGTACTTATTAAATAGATACTAGTAACTATTTATTAGAT